CGACGGCCCAAGACCAACATCAGTATGGTTGTGCAAGGCTTCTGCCAAATGCCTGTACTCAAGCAGAACAGCAGAGGAACGGTTGGGGAATACAAATCTGTTCAGCCTGTACAGAAGGAATAGCATATGCTGCTGATCCTTGTCCTTCTCCACACTGAATTTTCTCAAATAATTAGAGAAGGAACAGTTCTGGTTGATAGCAGCAGGAGAGATGGTGAAGGGTTTTGCTAGTTTCTCCTGGTTCTTCCTTCTATGATAGTCACCAACAGCATCAGCAGGTCTCCCATGAGGCCTGAACCCAAAGATTTGAGCCATGTCCAGCAGGGTTGGCGCCATCGGACCCACACGGAAATCAAATGTATTGCTGGCAGAATTCCAGAAACATAGAGCGGCAGCAAGCAGGTTCTCATCCCGATTAATGGACTGTTTAGACAGAAGGATTGCATCATAAATTCCTGCCCGCCTCCAGTGAGCTCCAAACTTGGGAAGAAGTTTGTCAATCCAGTCCGCCCACTTCACAGGACTATTCCTCACTTCACTGGACGGAAACGAACGGCTCAAATTCTTGCTGACCCAAGAATAAAAGGATAAGGCAGAGTTCCCTTGGTAACACAGAGGTGCTTCGGCATCCTTCTTTATTAACTCTGCTATCTCAGCTGGGACAGAACCAAACCAGCGAGGTCCCAAAGTCAGAGTACTGTCGAACAAATGAAGGACGTTTTCGTCCAATTTTTTCTGAACAAAAGGATGAAGTCTGCTTCGAACTTCCATGGCGTAAGCGTCGATTCCAGTCCCGGTAATGTAGTCTGGAGGAACCGAGGAGGAAGCACCGTGGGCACGAGTCCTTGGAGAAGACATTTTCTGGGCTTACAGGCTAGGAACGGAAAAGGGTTTAAGGATTGAACAGAGCAAAGGGAAAGGATTCTGACAAAAACCGAGAAAATTGAACTCTGAGAAAGCTAGGTTTTGAGATGAACAGGAACTGGAAATTTCAAATTTCTTTTAAGGGACTCAAAATCGTGGGAAAGGGAAGACAAGACGCCACCTGAAAGCTAATAATGATGAGCTAGTGACCAGCTAGTAACTGACCAATTTCCCACGAAGTCTAGGTAGGTGGACGTGGCACACAGGGGACGTTTTAAACTGGCGTGCACAAATTAAATGGCCGAAAACATTAAATCTGAAAACCGTTTGATAAACGGTTCAGATTTAATGGGGGCATTGTTTGGGCCCAAATTTAGCACGCCGAAAACAAAAGCCCACACCATCTCCTAGGCCGCTTGTATCAGACGACCTCAAGCCCATCAGCACGACCCAGCCCATTAAACGAGTGGACAGGCCAAGAACACCTGGCCCAAAACG